CAACTCTGTTAATCCTTTTTCATTAGTTTGTGAAGAGTTATCCCCCTTTGTTTACTTGCTCGCAGACGACATTTTCAGTGATCCTCAGTATGGATGATTTAGAGAAGAGGAAGTTGATTTTAGAGTATTATAACGTGGACATCAGATCAGCTAAAGTGATTTCATGTAGAACAGGCATCCCTTTGTCCACTGTTTATCGTTTTTGAAAAATATTGCAAATGGTTATGGCATTGACAGTGTAGGAAAATGTAGAAAATCTAGCCTGTCCACAGGACTGGCATCATTTTTACCAGTCCTGCCAAAATGTAGCCTGTCCTCCAAATATAAATAAAACACCTTCGCAGTAAATATTCAAAAAGGTTATAATCATTATATATATGCCATATATTGTCATTTTGCTAAAATTGACCCGACATGAGGACGGAGATATGTTTTTTAACCCGTTCCACAAAATTCACCCGTGTGCTACTCATACTTCTTTCCTACACTGGCATTGAGCACCAGGGATGAGCAGATATGTTGGTTAACTGTGCTAATACTTGCTTCATAATGATACAAGAATCTGTATCGAAACGTCTCTCGAACAAAGAAGTTGTTCATCCATAAAGTTTGTCCTCATCTAATTGGTTACACTGATTGACTAATAAGGCCAAATAAACAAAATCTTGTGGTTCCGATTACACCTCTTTAATTTAAAATTTAGGGTAGGTAGGTAGGAATTCTTCTATATTTTTACATTTTTTATTAGAAGTAAAGTATGAACTAAAAACACATTTATCAATGTATAATTGTTTATTCAATCAAGCTTGCAGCCATTATGTTGACTTTCTCTATCAGAATGACCGATGTCCATTGGTGCCGGGCAAAAACAATGGCATCTGAAAGTTTATCTTATTCATACCTCTCAAAAAAAACTAGGGTCGGCATCAGAATTCAAGGGTCGGTCGGGTAATCGGAACCACAACATTTTTTTTAGGCCTAAACAAATTTAGCACATATTTAGAGAATGGACACCCAAAACACATGATCAGGGGAAACATTATTTTCATGGACTGTTAAATGAAGGATCTACACTGAATAACTGAGAAACAAGAGAGAATCCTTCCACCTCCTTCTTCATGGTGGTCAGACCTCATGGCCAGCAACTCAGGATGCCGGCAGTAACGGAACCCACATCAAGGGCATGACACACAGGGAAAATTGTTTACTTTGTGTCACATTTTGTTTACACACTTCACATTAAACACACATTTGTAACTTTGTGTGAAGGTGATACACAGACATACTGGAAAAACACCTGATCATTCATCAGCTTTTATGAATGTGAGTGAGTATTGTTTTAAGCCGCTTTCAGCAAGATTCCAACAATACCATAGCAAAGGACACGAGGAATTGGCTTCACACAATACCCATCAAATCAAACCTGAGCCTTCAGCGGGAATACTTAAAGCACAAGGCTATCCCACGACCATAACCTCTCACAACAAACTGGTCACCAAATCTGTCCATGTATCTCCACCGGGATACAGTGTAAACATTTCCTCAGGCAACCCACAACTATTCAAACCAAACAACCAATTAATCATAAAATAATGAAACACAGAGAACTTTTTTGGTGTGGTATTTTCTTATCCAGTTGAAAAAAGCATGGCAGAAAAGTGGTCCTTGTCATGACCCCATTGTTAAAAAATTCAGGTCTTCAAACACAATTTCCACTGGTAGATATGCTACACACTAAACACAGGGCCTGTAATGCAAAATAAAATGGCATCATGGTACATATTAAAAGTCCTTTTACATAGTACTACACACTAAAGCAGGAAACATTTGAAAACCCCAAGACAAACTTGAATTTCACTCACTGCTTGTCCAGTAGCTGACATTAAGAAAATCCCTTACCTTATAATCTAATTAGATAGTTATTCCGTATACATAGTGTCAACAAGATTTGCATTGTAAAAAGCTGTTCAACATTATCTACTCAAATGCATTCTGACAAGGGAGATTATTTGAATTTTATTTCACATTTGTTTGGATTGGTTTAGAGATCTGTTGACTTTAAAACTAAAACAATTCACAAAAAAACTCTGAACAAGGGGTGTTTAATAGTAAAGACTTTCTATGACAAAACGATTGACCACAAAATGCTGCAGTAAGATTGTATATTCTATATCTTTATCACATGTTGATGGGCATCAGCCAATGTTTACACTTCTTTAATTATAACCGTAAATTTATTTTAAAAACCTGTACAATGCAGTGCATATGTTCCTTATTTTTATGTCAGCCTTTATCAAATATTTCACTATCTAAACCAACGAAAAAAACACACAAAAAACAAAAATCTGGCCTAAATATAAGACAATCCTCGATATAATTCTGCTCCCTCATTCAACCATGTTGACCTTGGTGTGAGAGAGCCCATCCTGTGATAAGGAAGTCTTCAAGGTCATTTCATCATTCTGTAGTCAGTTATAATCCCATTATTTTCATTTTCAACCTATTTATCCAGGCACAGATTAAATCTGTGGTATAATGATAAGTATATTAGGAACTTGTTTTGGCTAAAAATCAGCTTCATTCACATCACCGACACTTACAAAAAGCATATATTATATAACATATAAATCATGATGATTGCACACACAGAATACTCCAACAACACCAATAAATGTTTAGCTATAATATTTATCATTCACTTAATTGTTTATGAAAATTCACAATCATATAAAATAATAGCATTTTGGGATTTGAGAAACCCTATTATGACCTATAATTAGACGTGTGATGAGCTGTTGTGTGCCTGTGTGTGCTGAGTATCACTCTTATAGCCAGACTGCCTTTACAATAAACAAATAAGAATGACTGCACAGCAAATCTTGACACTGACACTGAAACTGATAGTGGTAAAAAAAAAGGTATGGCCCATCAAGTCAAAATACAACAGTAAAAACAAGCACTATATTGTTAGGATGCAGACATACATCCGCTATTTCCATGTCACATTTAATACAGGAAAATCAAAGGTCATCATTTTCCCCCAAAACCAAAATTTAATGGTTACTGTAAGTAAACACAATTTTAAAACTTGTTGTCTGGACTTCAATTTGACGACATTTAAATTATCTAGATTGAATAAATTTGGTGTATATAAAGACTATGTTAATATATGTATACTCTTGAACTGAATAGAAATATTTCAACAACAACAAAAATTAACGACTTGATTTATCTTAAATCAGCTGCATGTAGACATGAAAAGTATTGAAAACCTAGTTGCACCACAAAAATAAAAATAAGTTACATCCTGGTTCATGAAAGTTTGCAAGGTTGAAACATACATGCAAAGATAGCGTATAGAAATACATTCTCAGAAGGTCAGACTTCAGATTACTGTCATGATCTATAAAGTCAGTGATCACTTGCATGTACCGGTAATCACTAGCAGCACAGTTATAATCTTTAGTTGGATAATCTAAATATCATAGTATGACATAGTGTTTAACTTCAGCGACAGCTGAAGCTGGAGTAGAGTCAGTCAGTCAGTTCACAACTGATACTTAGGAGTAAGTGAATAAATACTGTTTTCAGCCACATCAGCAATACTGCATATATTCAAGGCCATAATACTCAGGAATATTGTTCTAGACTGTATCTAGATCATGTTGATATGCAAGTTCATGTTGATTACTGGTTGTAAGCAGAGCTGTCAAACTGAAATGTTTGGACAAGCACTTGGGGCATACACACATACATATTAGGCAGTTTATCAATAATGGATTGCACAGGTGCATGTTTCATGTCACTGAATCAAGCCCTGATATCTTACATATTTAACAAGCTTTCAGAAAACAAGCATTACATTACACTCTCAATATGAAGATTTAAAAAAAAACAAATCAGAGAATGAACATGTTTTATGTAATAGCATTAATAGAATGTATGTCAGCCATGCTTTAACATGTTTAAGGTCCTGCTCTTTTCATGTTATGTGCTGCTTTGTACCTGGCACTTAATGGAAGCCTGTGATGATTACAGACAAGGTACTTATTAGAGGAAATATGGTACTTTTGGAAACTCAATTGCTTGCAACAAAATGCAGACATTCACATTTAAAGCCTGCTGTGACTTTATATGTTTGGTTGAAAACAATGTTATAAAGAGCAATGCACAAGAACACCTCCCCAAAAGATCTTGGTTTCTCATAATCTCAACCACTCATAACTCTTTCACATAACAAATGCTATCAGATGGAATACTATGAAGATTTCAGAACCAAACTATTTCCCTAAATGTCCTTAAATACATAGACACATCTTTTAACAAGATGAACAAATTCTTGATGAATTTCATTTAATCTATTCGCATTGTACCCTCATGATAATAATAACAAAGTCAATAACTAATAGTAGGACTGATCCATTCAGCAATTGGTGCATTCATTCCATTTTGTCACTGCCTCTCATCTAGGTGACTTACTGAAATCAACACCAGAGGTGTTGAAATAGATCTCTTTTACCATGTTTAACACTTTAGAAGTCATGACAATTGGTCTCATAATTATAGTAGTTGTTTTTTATACATAAAAAAAACAGTAGTCGCATTCTTTTCATCGAAGAAACTGTCTCATAATGCCAGGGACCTAGACTAGTTAAGGGTGCTCCGAATAATATAGATCTAATTACAGTTGGCAATTACTATTCAATTTTGGTGACTGTAAGCCATGCGTGCAGTAGAGAGCTAATTAATTAATAATCACAAATGTCCATCGATATAACTGAATATGCAGACAAAAGGTTCAAACATTGTAAGCCATGTCATAATATACTAAAACCTGAAGAACTACGTCTTCAAGCCGCTGACATTCATACTAGTGCATGCTTTCGTTTCATGTCATGTTAATTCATACATATGATAGATCCGGTAAGTCCAAAACCATCGATGGTTTCCTTAAAAAATCACGTTAACTACGCAATTTGCGAGTTCGTAATTATACTTACGAATAAGATCTCGGTCTAGCTGTCATTTTGTAGGTATTTGACCGAGCTTAACGTTGGAATGATGATTGTAAATACGAGATTATTCACGCTGGGAGAGTCATATCGAGATCACCATATTGCTCACTGACATTAGACGTAGGGGAAATAACTCTGTATGTTACAAGTCGCGCACCACAAGTAAATTGCAAGAGATAATTACATGTATAAATTCGTCGACACATTCCACGCTGTAGAGAATGTTGCATAACATTATATAAAAATCCACCATGGACTTAAATAGGACAGTCAAACAAAAAGACACTTTCGTTACAAAAAAACGTTTCCTGTTACCAATTTACAATATATATATGAAACATAAGCAGGTAATATCTATTAAATATCAAACGGCCATTGCAATCAGTTAACGAATCTTAAATTATGGTTTCTTTCGTATATTTTTTTTTTGTAAAGCAGACGTTTTTCATTTATTTAACGGGCAGCTGTGTTAAAACCGTATGATGGAAGAACTTGTTGTTTTTTACACATAGTGTGTCAATATGATGACGTGTAAGATTTTAATTCATTATTATGTGAAGTGTTCAGTGGTATGTTTTAACATACAGCGGTATGTTTCAAGCGTATATCAAGAGAAACTTGAACATATGACTCCGCACACATTACACCGAGCGCTAGAGCAAATAAGAGAACTAATTGTCTAAATATTGATCATTTATCGATTTGACGTAAGTTGGTGATAACGGAGGTTGTAGCCTGTTCAGTGAAGCCCCACTGGGAAGGTCGCTGTTGGACAGCACTTTAGAATATATAGGGCTTCACTGGTCTGATTTGTCAGCAGCAGTTCTTTAATTGTACATAGCTCCCGGTGCGTACTTCAGCTATTTGGTGGGTGTTATCATTGATACACCACGTGAAAGGGAGTGTATTTAAAGTACATCTAGCATGAACAGCTGACGTGGTATTAAAATCTGGCTCGTATAGAGCTAATTTGATCTCGAAAACATATATATGCACATACCTTTAATAAAAGTGCGCCTTCAGTTTGTTTGTATGTTGTTGTTGTTTTCGTTTTTGTTTCGTTTCGTTTTGTTTGTTTGTTTGTTTGTTTGTTTGTTTTTGTTTTGGCTTTGGCTTTGGCTTTGGCTTTGGCTTTGCTTTGCTTTGCTTTGCTTTGCTTTTGCTCTTATGTATATCTCTGCCTGTTTATCTCAAGATGGTAAACGTTGCACACATTGTATAGGAGTAAGGTGCGTTGCGTTGCGTTGCGTTGCTTTGCTTTGCTTTGTTTTGCTTTGCTTTGCTTTGCTTTGCGGTGCGGTAATGGTGGGATGAGATGAGGTAAGGTGATACGATATTTTGGGAAATAATAATAGTTATATTTTGTATACATAGTGCAGGAGTGAGGTGAGGTGAGGTTTCACATCGCGTTCTATATTTTGCACTTATAACGAAAGGGGTGGTATTTTCATTAAAACACATTTTTATTGGTATGTATAGCCCCGCGTGTCTTTGTGTATAACTGCTTGCATATGAGCTGTGTGCTCAGTCTTCGTTTAAACAAATATCATCAGAAATAGTAATGTTGCCTAACCTGTTTGGTTCAGTATACATAGCCGCGTGCATGCGTGTTTGGGTGAATGTCGCCGAATGTACCAGCTCGGAATAATGTCGATTAAATAGTGCTAGCCAACGGGACAAACATGCCCCAGTTTATGGAGAATACCCCACCCTCCAGCACTGGTAACAATGTAAAAGTAACATTATTGAAAATATAGGTAGATAGTGTGACTGAATCCAAAGATTATACGCAGGTCGAATACAAGATCAGAAAGCACGAGCATCGGATCCTGACATGCCTAAGGGACTTAACTGTTGCTGTTTGGATAAATGTTTCGCAGTCCAGAGTAGCCGAGTAATAGTAGTATCGCCCTATGTTGTAGTTTTGTTTGTTTCTTGTTGAAAGCCGCACTCAGCATTTACAGGTGCACGATGGCGGTCTGTAAATAATATGGGTCAAATCAGTGATTGATATCACGAACACAGAGTCTGACCGCCGGGCTAAGATGCCACGCTGTTTTACCCTGCGATCTGATCTGCATCAACTCGTGCTGCACGTGCTATACATTTTGAAGTACGTGCAGGTTATCACCCAGTCTTACAGCCCCGAAACAAGGTAATAGCGGTTTTAATTCTATCGAGAGACGGTTAGGGAGCCTTTAATGTTTTAAGCTTTCGTTCGTCACGTCGAGGGTGCAGGTTCGATTCCCCACATGATAACAATGTGTCAATCACATTTCAGGTGTCCCTCGCCGCAGTATTTTGGGAATATTATTAAATGCGGTGTAAAACCTCACTCACTCATTTTTACTCAGTGAGAACAATGTTCATGTGGAAAGACGTCTGTGATATGATTGAAGGTAATTTTGTATCCAGTGTCTTCAGGGGCGGATACAGCTTTTTGAGAAAAAAAAGGGTGGGTGGGGTGCACACACTATTGAGAAAAGGAGGGGTGCGCACCCCTGCACCCCCCTCTGGATCCGCCTATGGTCTTGGTAATATTGAGAACCAAATGTCTTGGTAAGGTGACTCCAAATGACTGGGTAATGTTTTACAAATTAACTCGGTACTCGGTTATTGTCCTTAAACGGTTTCACCACACTTATTGAAGTCAGTTTAATTGCATTGGCTGTATTCATCTTAAGAAGTATTTATCACCTAAAACCGTGTTCCACTGGAAATATTGCTTGTGTGATCAAACGAAATCGCCTAGAAGATGTTGTGACATTACATTTTGCACAATGCCCTGACGTCATCAATTACATGACTCACAATGCTATGGCGTAAAAAAAGATGACATCACAATGCTATGACGTCATAAATTTGATGACGTCACAATGATGTGACATAGCTGCACTGCAAGTCTAATGGCAGTACCGTGTTCAGAGATGTACATTTCATTGAAAACTAATGAAGAATGATTTTTTTATGATAATAGAATATCACCCTCGTGTCTTCTGATATCAAATATATCAACACTCGATAAAAGTAAAATATTCTCGACAAGCCTCGGATATTTTTAACTTCATCAACTCGTGGCGATCATATTTGATATCAAAAGACACCCGGGTGAGATTCGATCCCTACATGATGAAGTTCAAAGTATATTACAGATTTGTTCAGCCAGTGACGATCCGAATAAAAGTCTTTAGCAACACATGCTGTCGTATAGGAGGCGAGTAACGGGATCGGGCGGTCAGGCTCACTGAAACAAGTTATCGTATCCCAGGTTAAATTGATGTTCAGGATGTCAGCAATTGATAGCCTGGTGCAGACTCAAGCAATCATACGAAATATATTGCTGAGTGCGAGTTAGACAATAAAAACAACAACAAACTCTCTCTCTCTCTCTCTCTCTCTCTCTCTCTCTCTCTCTCTCTCTCTCTCTCTCTCTCTCTCACACACCACCATCTCCTAAAAACCAAACAAACAAAAACAACACCAACAAACCCCACCCCACCCAACAAACCAAACCAAAACAACAAATAGAACAAAAATTACAACAACAAGAACCAACATGATTCGTTTAGGTATGGAACAGTACGTGCGCAAGTCGCTCATTTATTTCTGTACAGAATTTGGACGTCGTCGTATGATAAACGTTCCGTTGTACGAAATGAGCTGCTGTTAACGTAATTTGATGTGCTATATCAAATAGTACTCGCTGAATAGGTTCACAAAACATTTTCAAAATGGGTAAGGCAATACAAGTCACTCTTGTGAGGAACGAAAAAAAGCCTGTAGATAAAGTTCAATATACCTACTTACACAAACACACGTACCGCTTTTTATTTACTGTGTCACAGGAAAGCAAACATATCCAACCGGAGCAGTCAAGTAGTTCTCAATAACTGGAGTCCTAGTTCGAGTACATCTTTCAGACTGCCAAGCATGTGAGCCCGTCTCTCAGTGTGAGAATGCATGTCATTATTTTCTCGTACGCCCTAAGTGTAAGCACTATATCTACAGTTCATTCACACTTCCAGAGCAGGAAGTGGGTCTGAATAAACGCATACAACACCGTAACTCTAGTATTTGCGAGTCTTGTAGCGCTGGTGTCAGTACTATAGTTAGAACGACTATGGATGATGACAGCCTGTAAATAGACCAATGAATGGTATCATATATACGAGAGACTCCTGGTTAAAGCGTTCGCTCGTCACTCCGAAGACCCTTGTTCGATTCCCCACTTTATCTTCTGAAACAGGTTTACCTAATATATAACCAGTTTCTTCACTACGTGCCTATTATCATAATCATCAACTGCTGGATAAAAGGACGTATACTTTGAAAACGGGATTTGACCTCAAAATTACAAACGTTATCAAAACGCTACTTATATAGCACCCGTGAAGATCCGGGTTAGAATTGATCTTCAGTAACCCATGCTTGGCGTAAGAGGCAACTAACTGAATCGGGTGCATGGTCAGATGTGTAGATCGATGCTTATGCTGTTGATCACTAGACTGTCTGGTCCAGATTCGATTATGTACAGGCCGGCGCCATATAGCTGGAATATTGCTGAGTGTGGCGTAAAACTAAACTCACATACTCATTTTTTGGTATAGCCTGAAAACAATCGCCGAAACGCGCCAAACTTATCGCCCAGAAACACAACTATGACACCGGTATTAAATACACCACTATCGAATAACCGTTTCTTGTTTCTTCCATTTTTAGCCACCACGACAAATGAGTGTATACTTTCTTTTGTCCGTCAGTTTATTTGTGATATAAATGGCGGTTTAGTTAATGCTTCAGTTTTATGTTTAACCCATTATAATACACCAGTTCATTTAATTTCCATGTTTACGCCTTTGACTTGGAAACAACTTATTGTTTTGCCCGAGAATATTGTTTCATCATTGTTTTGTTGACATATATTCAATTCAAGAGATGCTGAATTTGAAAATCAATAGTTACAAAACAAATTCATTAAACACTTGACAAATCTGAAAATATTTAAGCAATTGGTCTGGCGTGTGCATATTTTCAAAATATGTTTTCAAATAGAAGATATGTTTGGGAATAAGTTTAAAGGAAACGATTAGAAAATACATGATATGAACATGCTGATGATTTTGGTTT